CGATTAGTACTGAAGATGTAATAGGCCAGTCTCTTTAGAAAACATTGTTACCAGCATAAAAAGTCACCTTTCAAACTACTCCAGAACAAAATGCGATTACTAAAACTGTGATAGCTGCATCGCCTGTACTTCTTAATATTTCTTCCCCACAAATATTGCCTGAATCAAATACTTTGATTACAAGTCAAGCCCTACGTATAAAAAAAGTTTTAGTCTCTTTATGTTACTCGATTGAATTTCTCCTTAGGAAAACTGTTCTCTTTTAGAGTACACTTTAAATCTTTTTTACGACGTCTCTGGTCATTGTCCTTAAACTGGGACAGTGATATACTGGATGCGCTATTGATCTCGGATTAGAAATCATTATTGGATACATTCCAATCAATATATAAAATTTCATTTAACAGATGCCTGACGCTTCCACTGCTTGTATCGGATATGCTACTACGACAAAGTAGAATTAAGTGGAACATCGCTCCAGATCTTTTATAGATAGGTGATGTGGTAATAATAAAAGATGACTAGACTTCCCTACTCCTTTGGCCTCTGACTAAGGTAATCGAATTGATTTCAGACAAGGATTCTCTTGCTCAAACAGGTATATCCATACCTAGTGCCATATACCTTAATAAATATGTATATAGTTTCTCTAGACTTTAGTTCCTCCAGATTTTAAATAATTTTTAGTTATCTTATTTTTACAACAATGTCCCTATTGTATACCGGTTTACCCTCGTTCTCGAAGTAATTATTTGATACCCCATTCAAGTGGCATAACTCTTCTCGCCCGCCTCCAATATGTTTAATTTTTTCACATGCGAAAAATCATGTCTTTTTTGCTGTATTACTAACTATCATTCTACTACAATTTTACAATTATTTCCCATTCTTTAACCCTTCCTACTCACATTTTAACCCCACTTCATTAGAAATAGAGACAGTTGTAACATAGCAAACAATAAGTCGCTCTCTTTTGTCTTTTGTAAATAAAAAATTAATTAATTAAAAAAAATCAGATAATACAAAGAAAAGTGTTTTGAATTATAATAAATTATGTATATTGTCTTTTGAACACACCGATGATGTTAAAAAGTAAACTACCAGTTTAGCTTTGATTTTAGATTGGATACCGAAAATTTGACCTAGTCTACCTTTCTGTAAGAAAATGAAAAAAGCATATATTGTGTCAACATTTTTACATTTTGAGATTTGTATACTCACATATTCGTAGTGATAAGATCTAGAAGATTGCAAAATAAGGTTTGCTGCAGATGTTTAGGTATTGTGTTATTAATGGTGTCAAAAGCAAATAAATTCAAAACAGTGACATCTTAAGATACTACGATATAATATCTTATACCTATTCTTGTCTCCAATACCTTTAGAGTAAGGTACTTGAGGAGGTGGCAATATACTATATACAGATATATTATAAAGTAACACCACTCTTTACGTTGATATGTATTTAATTGAAAGTTGACAAAACTAAATATAAATGCATATATTGTATTTACTCCTTTTCATAAACTAAACAATATTATTTGTTAAAGATGGCAATTGCATATAAGCAAACATATTTCGTTTTGCCCTCCTCTTTATATGTGGAATGCGCGATGAGTTTCAAAGCAAGGTGTTGATTTATTTGGTTTTTCCATCTACCAAATTGTTTTCAGTTGTTGTCGCATGGTCATAGGTGCATTTGTTAGTATTTTAGTTGGATTTGTGAACAAGATACCTGATATATTAGGTCATTGTTTATAGTGGATTTTAAGGCACATTATTAGCTTAAATTATTTAATTAAACATGTTGTGCGAAAAGTGCGGTCAGAACTTTATTTCTCGATACTTATTGCTTATACACTGCTGTAAAATTTCGGTTGAAAAGAATTTATTCAATATGGATGATTCTACGACCATTTCTTCAAGACCAAATGTAAATGTCTGTGAGCAAAAATACTCATGTCTGATCATTCGGATAAATCACAGTTCTTAGAGATAAACAAAGCCTGCGAAGAAAAATCTGAGATGTTTAGACCTTAAGAAACAACAGCAGTTTTAAGCCTACCTTGTCCGAATTAGCAAACGTTGATAATATTGACCATGGTTCAAATAGGGTAAGTTTGCTATTTTTTTAGTTTTTAATTCTTGACACAATATTTATATGGGCGTCACATTGCTTTCAAAAAAAAGTACAGGCACTAAAACATTTAAAGGTTCTTACTGCAACATATTTAAAGGTTCTGAAAAAAGTAAAAAATACTTAGTAGTAAAAGACCGCAGGCTACATAGTTACCGTGTTTCTAAATTAAGATGTATCTTTTAAGGAAGAAGATGTTACTTCTATGGAAAATTACAAGAATAATCCTTCTAACCTAGAAACAGCGTTTTCTAGTTTTAATTCAACACAAAACGGTGTTACGGCCATTTTTGAAATAAATAAAGATAATGGAGTACCTTCTACTAAACCTGGATTAGATGTGGATCTTTTTGGTTACGTAAGTTTAGGATACTTTTTTTGTATATATTCATCAAAAAAAAACCTTAAAAACAATATTTTAATACAAACATGCCTTCGCTTTCTAAAATTTTACAGAAACTTGATGATAAAAATTTCAATAGAAGTTCTCACTTAAACCAGGATAATTTGGATGAAGATCCTAACTGGTATCCTGAAGAGGATGTTGCTAACCGACTAGCGAGAGTAACTAAAACTTCTGATTCTACTATCCCAGGTAATTTTGACGGTTTGTTTAGTTTATCCTAAAAATAACATGGATCATAAATTTAATTTATATTTTTTAATTTTAGACTTTGCAACACGTCGTAGAAGATGATATCCATGATATCGAATGTAAGGGATCAGATTGTTCTCAAAAACATGTTGGCAGTAATATGAAAAAAAAACTGACTAGTAAGAAAAAAAAACGAGGTGTCAGAAAACATGCAGAGGAAACAAAAAAAAATTAGGTCTGGCATACAGAAACAGGAAAAGAGTTTTATGCCCACCTAAAGTATTTAGACCAATAACAAAATGTTGTACAAAAAATTGTCATCAAAATTGCACCCCTGAATAACAAAATATAATTATAAGTTGCACTCTTACAGTCCTCGAAGACATACCGTCTCAGGACTAGCAACTTCAACGTGGAGTCATATGTCGCCATGTTACCTAATCCATCGGTAACTCTATAATCCTAAACGTACTCCTAGACACTGATGATGGAACATGGTTTCCGAAAACGTTTTGTCTTTTTAACATAGCCCGTTTGGGCCTAAAATATACCTGTTACAAAGGATTTTTAATTAAATTTTTAATACATGGTATACAGCCAACTACAGGAACGTAGATTCCTTGTGGAAAATATAATTTGGTCTAGTTTTAATAACAAAGCTCCAGATATCCGTAAACAAGTATTATGTGAAAGAATGAGTCTTTCTAAATGCAAATACCAAATAATGAAAGGCAGAGGTATGAAAGGGAGAAGCCACATAATCGGGTCGTAACTGTTAGCTACTCAGTGCCTATAGAACCTGAGAAAATTGTAACTGTATGCAAGATTTTTTTTATTAATCTGCATGGAGTAACAGTAAAGCAGCTAAATCAGCTCTTTAAAAAACTAAAATCGTCAGAGAATGGATTTATAAAAACAGATATGAGAGGACAGCATGAACCCTCTAATAAGTTGGTCGAAGAACGTAGTGAAATTTAGAAATTTACAGATCAATATCCAAGGCATGAAAGTCAGTATGCAAGGCGAGATAATCCTAATCAAATATTTCTACCCACCCACCTAACCATCCGTCAAATGCATAAAGAATATCAAGAAGATCTATTAAAAAAGGGTTAAATAAATCTGCTAGTCATGATGGTTTTCGTGACGTATTCAATAATACGGGGTATAAATTTAAACAGTTTTACATTGACACATGCCGCAATTGTGACGAATATTAAACATTAAAAAAGAAATTTTTTTTGCCAGGTCATACACGCATCGAGTCTGATAGTGACCACGCACGAATTGAAATATGTAAAAAGCGAATTTCAAATTATTTTAAAATATGGTACCATTACCATGGGATTGGTTTCAGTTTGTACAATCGCTTCGGGGCAAATCCAAATTTACAGTAGTTGATATTAGACAAGAAGAGTTTCTAGCATTTTCGAAGCTCTTACGTGACATAGTAGTCAAACGAACAAGCGACACTGAAGGTAAAAACATATCTTGGCTTAATTTTAAATGGCAAATATTATATACCAAGGAGTTTGGGCTAATTCAGTTTAAGTATACTTTTGACGATAAAACCATTTAAAACTCTAGATATAAGAAGGGGAAAAGAAGAGGTCGACCATCACTGGCTACTATAACTGTCCCTTGTTCATACAATAGCCCTTGGGTATTAATCCAAAGAAAAAGAAGGACTTTTTATCGATGTTAAATCTGATAGACAAAGACTGCTGTGCTATTTATGAAAATTTGCCAACCACTTCAAGGCAAAAGAACATAACGAATTGTGTGATAATGCCCTGGATTCGAATTCAGAAGACTAATTGGTTATACGAAAACAAGTTGTAACATTTCAAGCATTAACATAAAATACAAATGTTTTGTTTTTCATTTCCCTTTCAAAACGATATATACACAAAACAATTAATTTATAAGATGCCAAAACCACATATATCTAAAATATCTAAGGTATTCCAAAAACTAGCCAATAATCTTCCTTCATATTTCACACATTAGAAGTACATTCAGTTCCTTGTACTATTGCACAAAAAACATAACAATACCTTTTATCACCGAATAAATATAAGTTTGAAACCTTAAAAGTGCTCTCCTGAAAACTATCAAAAATTGACATATATGGTTTCGCCATCTTTCCACAAATTTATTCTAAATAGTTTTATGATCGTCATAATTATAATTCTTAACAACATCCAAATGTAATAGTTTCATCTCATTCGACATTTAAATGTTCAATTAATACTTTTGGTTAGATCTCTAGTATATGTTAAAAAATTTGGCAATCAATGATTTTTTAGAACTTTTGCTAGAATTTCTACACGGTATTTTGTCTATAGAATTTGTTTTGATTTCTACTAGTTTTAAGATATATACCTTAAATATATTGTCTTGGGTTATTAAAAGGTTTGACATGATCTTATTAGTCAAGGAAAAACGAAATATATTTTATTAATTTTTACTGTTTTATATAAACACGCTACTGGTGTAACTGTTTATATTCGTACTCCATGAATCAGAGAAACAGCGCTTGACACTCACCTCTCGTAGACATTTATTCAAACAGACGCTGCCTCGCTTCTCCGTAGACGCGCCGCCGCCGCCCGGCCCGTAGACGGCAAGCGTATGAAATGTCGGCGTCGAGGCGCCGTTCATCTGGCATGACGTTGACGGTCTTTGGAAGACGCTGCTGTCTCCGGAAGTTTCACTGAAGAAGTCTACCCTTAGATCGGGTGGCGGAGGAGTTCGACGGGAAGATGTGGAAGACACGCTTGACCTCGTGCGGTATTTTTGGCGGTCGTTATAATTAAAATTTTCCGACGTTTGATGATGATATTTATTGGGAGAACGAGTTCGGCGACTTGTTTTTTTGTGCCTGTAAATAAATACCAAATTAAATTTTTTCACCTACTACAATATTTATAATAAATGAATTACTTGTTCGGGTAATGTGATTCTACCCATAATTATTTTTAAAATATTGTCTATACATCTTCCTTATAATATAAGGTGGACTTTTTCAATAATTTTTACATAGTAATCTCTTAATATAGTTAGAATTGTGGTGGTGAGATATATCGTCTTAATATAGAGCTTGTTTAAAATATATGTGCAATAAAAAAATGCCATTTTTATTTATAAAAAGCATTATAAACAATTAACTGTGCTTGTTAAATAATGTAGCACATGGGGTCCTGTAAGACCCCATTTTTTAACAGTAAAAATACAAATCATGAATTTGTTGCTTGTGTGAGTCCATTTCAAATAGGTAAAGAAATAATAAATAAGACTTACTCACAATCAATTTAATTTAACTATCAGACGACCGGTTTCGCTTTCTACAATATGCAAAGCATCTTCAGGTCTCGATACAAAGTTAAACAAATGATGCCGGTACTCTATTAATATATGGATGGTAGAACATGTTTGAAACTACTTTATATTGTTGAATGGAGAACTCAATACTATTATTGCAGTTGTTTGACAGTAAACGGGAAGTTCTTGAGGAGATAGATTTGATCCAATGAATTTGAGATATGTGTGAGATTGTTTGTTAAATGTAAGTGATGTAATATACTATTGTGTTATTAAAGGCTATTTATACTTATTCCAGCGATATATTTTTTTGAAATGTGTGTTATTTATTGAGTAATTGTTTTATGAAGGTGACAGTTTTATGACAATGAATAAGTGTAGATGTAAAAATTGTGTGGGTGTGCAATTATTTTCTAACTTGTAGTTATCAAATTACTTTGATAAAGTTCTATTGGCAATGAGTTAATTATTGGAATAGTCAAGTGAATAAAATGGTAAAATACAAACAATTAAGGATAATTTAAACACACTAAAACAGAAAATACTTAGAAGGGACGAAACAAACACTGAATTTAAAAGGGGGAAGGACTTTAATGCACTACATCATAGTCTTGGGCACAATGAGAGATACAACAATAAAAAAACTCATTTATTATTTCTTTACCTATTAGTAAAAATACAGTTTTTTAAAAATTAAACTTTTATTCACAAGTGAGAGTAAGAATAGTACTTTCCTTTATATAATATACTAATTATAAACAATTTTTACATATATTGGCAGTGTGATGTGAGCAAATATGTTTTTTGCACTTTCTACACACTGTTTTAACTTTTTTATCCTTATTTTTAGGACAGAAAGAACAACGAGATTTAAGGATTAGCTCCTCATTATGAAAGATCATGGGTATTTTATGACCCAATTTGTTTCTAGTGATACCTTGGAGTTCACGTGGTAACCTATCCAGCTTTCTTTGTTGCATATGATCCATCACCAGTGATTTTCCTTCTCATATCTTCTTTGTCAGTTTGAAGTTTTAGTGATATTTCCACATTAAAACCAGCTCTATTCAGAATTTGATAAAAAATTAACATTGTCCAGCGGCTTGTTTACCGTTCCACAGAATAATTAGCGCACAATTGGTCTAATGCATCCACGCCGGCCTTAGTTTGATTGCAATTATGGATTATTTCTGGATTACCACTTTTATCATTTTTTTATTTATCATTATGCATTGTTGAAATAACTGACTGTCTGATTTTTTTTTTGGCACATAAGATCATATTGTCATTCCATCATTATGACCAAATAATGATGATCCTGCTTGTCGGTTTTTATTTGGTTTAAATTCAAGTGGTAATTACGGAGGGTAAGAACATCGACACCAGAGACATACAAATAATATTAAATCTGTACTGGAATCAGCGAGCTAATATAAAAATAGACGAACAAACATCGGACAAAATAAAAATACGTAGAGGAGTTCGACAGCGAATATCTACAGCGAACAAATATGCCAAGAAGCTATCTCACATGCAAACGAAGGGATAATAGTCAATGGAGAAGTTATCAGTAACATCCGATATGCTGACGATACTGTGATAACGGTAAGAATAGCGGATGATCAACAACATCTAGTTGAAAGTATGAATATAATATGTAATAATTACGGCATAAGAATGAACGTCAAAAAAACCAAATATATTACCTTTAGTAAGAATCGAATACATGACACTAGTATCGCAATAAACGGCACCTAACTCGAAAAAGTAAGCGAATACAAATACTTGGGAACCCTAATCAATGAAACAGGTGACCAAAATCACGAGATAAAAAGACGTATTGAAATTTGCCAGGTCTACTTTTATAAACATAAAAAAAATATTTTGTAATCGTGATATTAGTAGTCATCTACGAACTAGAATGTTAAAATGTATTCAGTACTTTGCTTTACGGTGTTGAGGCATGGACTCTTAAAGAGACAAATGTTAAAAATCTTGAAAGCTTTGAGATGTGGTGCTACCTCCGTATACTAAAAATGAGTTGGTTGGATAAAATTACAAATGAGGAGGTAATACGCAGAATAAATAACGATCCAGAAGTTATACTGAATATAAAAAAGAGAAAATTTTAATACTTAGATTTTTGCTGTTTGTCCCCAGTACAACCTGGATATGATGTTAAGGTCGCGACTGTCGATATTTTTGCTTCTTAGGATTTCATACAGCTTTTGCTGTCTGACGTTATCTAAGGCCTTCTCAAAATCTATGAGGTCTTGGTTTACATCTAAAAATCTTTACATTAACACACTTAGACTAAACAAAGCTCCCCGTGTTTCCAGTCCACCTCTGAATCCAAACTATGTGGCGCTTATGTCCTCTTCTAATTTATTAAATATTCTTTTGTGAATTATTTTTAAAAATACTTTTAGTGTGTGGCTCATCAATGCTATAGTTCTGTGGTCTGAACACTCTCTGGCGTTATTTGCCTTCGGGATTGTGACAAAAGTAGAGGAGAGCCATTTCTTTGGTATGATGCCTGTTCTATAAATTTTGTTAAAGAGGTTCACCATTATTTCAAGTGCGTCGTCGTCTATAAGTTTCAACAATTCTACAAGAATTCCATCTGGTCCTGCAGCTTTACCCCCTTTTGTGTTCCTTATAGCATATTCTACCTCGTTTTTTAGGATTTCAGGCCCTGTTGTGTCCTCTGTTGGTTCTACCACTGCTATTTCTGGTCGTTCGTCTACAAAAAGTTCTTCATTGTATTCTGCCCATCTAACCAGTTTTTCATTTAAATCTGTAATTATTTTACCTTTTTTGTCCTTTACGAGGGATACTTGTTTTACTTTTTTACCTGTTGCTGTAGCAATAATAATCAAAACAAAATATAAAGATCAAATTAAAGAGTGTCAGTACATATCTCAAAGAATACTTTTAGTAAAAATTAGGGTGAACAGCAAAATTATCAACATAATACGGATATATGCACCAGAAGGACTGCAAACCTGATTGCGATAAAAAAGAATTCCATGATGAGCTACAAACATTAGTGGAAAGAGAAGTGAAGCAAAATTAATTACTTATATTATTGGGAGATTTCAATGCCGGAATAGGAGACGAAGTAATACCAGAAATAAAACAAAGGTTTAACGAAAGAGTTGTCAATGAAAACGGAAAGAGAATTGTGGAATTCTGCACATCAAAACGAACTGAGAATAACTAACACATTTTTTTATCATAAAATTTAACACGAATACACGGTTGACAATACAAGAGAACATAGATCAATGATAGATTATGTGGTCACAAACAGAAATATTCACCATAAACAGATAGTGGATGAGAGAAGTTTGACGTCACCCAATGTGGAAAGCCATCACTATTTGGTACTTGGTAAAATTAGATGTAATGAAGGATGGAAAGAGAAGCTTAAACAAACCAATTTAGAGGAAATAATAAAAATAGATAATTTAAGAAATGACTCCATAAAATCAAAAAAAGGTAGAACAGAAAATACCAATGAAGAATATCCAAAATGAAAGCAATGTAGAGACTAGCTGGAGAAAACTTAAGAAAAATATTCTGGATACTGCCCGAAAAGCACTTAGAATGAAAATAATTAACAAAAAGTGGTCATCGAAAACACAATGGTTTACACTAGAGGTTAAACAAAAATGTCACCAAAACAATCAAGCTTTCCTAAAAAATAAGTCAGAAAAAAAGAATGAATTATATAAAGAATATAAAAAAATAAGAACTAAAACTCATCAATTGATAAGAAAACCACAAACAGATTACTGGGAAAGATTTACAAAAGGACAAGACATGGATTTCTATGGACAAGAGAAACAAGTATGGCGCTTCATAAGACAACAAAGAAACAAAATGACACAACTAGTTGAAATAGAATACATACAAGAGGATACACGGGTGGTCTGACAGAAATGTTTAAAAGACAAAACGAAGAACCTTTACCAGAAACGCCAAATATAATAACTGGGGAAAAGACCAAAATCTCCCAAAATGATATGAAAGAAGGACTAAACAAATTTAAAAATAGAAAGTCACCAGGAGAAGATCAAATACCAAATAAACTTTTAAAACATGGAGGTGATTACCTTGTACAATAACTGCAACTTCTTATTAATAAAATAATCACCACGAATAGAATACCAGATGCATGGAGGAGAGCGATCATGGTGATGTTCTTCAAAAAAGGAGATAAGAAAGACCTCAATAATTATCGAGCAATAAATCTTTTAAATACAACAGTCAAATTGACAACAAGAATAAAAGCGACAAAAATAAATGAACGAATATGTCTGCTGAACGTAATGTTTCGTCTGAATTTTTTTTAAATTCGGTATCGTTGTTGGTTTTTTGTTTTTATCATGGTAAAATGTGTAGTGTAGTAGCAGTGTAAATATTAAGGAATAATTGATTTTTGGAGGAGATAGCTTTCGGGTGCAGTCTTCAAAGCCGGCAAATTTTTTTAACTAGAGAAGTGAATTTAGGCTCAAAACACGATTTGACAGTTTTTGTTGGGTTAATCGCCGAATG